TTAACGCCCACTCACATCCTGGGCCATCTGACCTCAGGAATTCGCATGATAAGGTGGGACCAGGTTTCACAATGAGCTCACCCGAAACCCTGGCTGATTGGGACCCACACCCAGTTTCACACCTTGGCTCAGACGATTAGAGGATCATCATCCTTTTGTCCCTCTGTGGGGGGAAACTCCCACTAGGTTTAAATCTGGGACTCCCCACCATTTGACCTTAGAACTGAAAAAGCTTCTCGGATGAGAGGTGAAACGTCTTCAAGTAACTTAAAGAAGTCCAGACGCTTTTCTTTGCAAGCTCCTTTGAGTACGATAACCTGGATTACTGAGAACCTTCACAGACAAACAGCACAGTTACACCTCAGTATCATTTAACCAAGCAGGTAGCTAGCATTTTAAGTGATTATAGATCAGTACCCACTGAAGCAGGCATTCATACTTTCCAAATAAAATATTTCTGATTGTTTTTGGTAGATAGAGTTAAAAATAGTCCTTAATTATCACATACTGAACCCTAATGCAGCCACCCGTCATCCTCTGTTGGAAACAAGCTACTTTAACTCCTTTCAGGGATTTTTATTATTTCCTTTTTATTTATATTGGTTTTTGAAGAGTTAAAAAAGAGCTCTGGATCCACTTTGATAAGGGTTACATCCACTAATGTTTTAGAAATCCTAAGATTTCTGCCACGATAAACTGTACAAAACATAAATATTTAAGCAATGAAAGTGTGCATAGATGCATACATACAGGGCTTTGTTAGAGGCTTTGATAACTGGCAGCAGCTTTAGAAGAGCCTCCTCTGAAGCAGAATATTTCTTCAGGTCAAACACATCCAGATCTTTTTCTGATGACAGTAAGATGAAGACCAGAGCTGACCACTGAGCAGGAGACAGTTTATCTGTGAAGAGACTTCCTGATCCCAGGGACTGTTGGATCTCCTCCACTAGAGAACGATCATTCAGTTCATTCAGACAGTGGAAAAGATTGATGCTTTTCTCTGCAGACAGATTCTCACTGAGCCTCGCCTTGATGTACTGGACTGTTTTCAGATTGGTCTGTGAGCTACTTTCTTCCTGTGTCAGAAGGCCTTGTAAAAGATTTTGATTGGTCTGCAGTGAAAGACCCAGGAGGAAGCGGAGGAACAAGTCCAGGTGTCCATTTGGACTCTGTAAGGCCTTGTCCACAGCACTCTGGTAGAAGTGTTTCTCTGCAGATGCTCCTGTTTCAGACTCATTGGAGGTTGTTTGTTGCTCTTCCAGCAGATTGAGTCCAGAGTTGATGAAGCTCATATGGACATGAAGAGCAGCCAGAAACTCCTGAACTGTCAGATGGATGAAGCAGAACACCTTGTCCTGGTACAGTTCTCTCACCTCTTTAAAGATCTGTGTGAACACTCCTGAGTACACCGAGGCTGCTCTGATATCGATGCCACACTCTGTCAGGTCTGACTGAGAGAAGACCAGGTTTCCTTTCTGCAGCTGATCAAAAGCCAGTTTTCCCAGTGACTCAATCATCTTCCTGCTCTCTGGACTCCAGTGTGGATCTGTCTCAGCTCCTCCATCATACTTGACCTTCTTCACTTTGGCCTGAACCACCAGGAAGTGGATGTACATCTCAGTCAGGGTCTTGGGCAGCTGTCCTCCCTCTCTGGTTTTCAGCACATCCTCCAGAACTATAGCAGTGATCCAGCAGAAGACTGGGATGTGGCACATTATGTGGAGGCTTCGTGATTTCTTGATGTGTGAGATGATCCTGCTGATCTGCTTCTTATCTCTGAATCTCTTCCTGAAGTATTCCTCCTTCTGTGGGTCAGTGAACCCTCTGACCTCTGTCACCATGCCAACACAGTCAGGAGGGATCTGATTGGCTGCTGCAGGTCGTGTGGTTATCCAGAGGCGAGCAGAGGGAAGCAGTTTCCCCCTGATGAGGTTTTTCAGCAGCACATCCACTGAGGTGGACTTTTTAGGGTCAGTTAGGATTGTAGTTTTGTGGAAGTCCAGAGCAAGTCGACACTCATCCAGACCATCAAAGATGAACACAACCTGGAAGTCTTCAAAGCTGCAGAGTCCTGCTTCTTTGGTTTCAGTAAAGAAGTGATGAACAAGTCCCACCAAGCTGAACTTTTCCTCTTTCAGCACATTCAGCTCTCTGAAAGTGAATGGAAATATGAACTGGATGTCCTGGTTGGCTTTGTCTTCAGCCCAGTCCAGGGTGAACTTCTGTGTTAAGACTGTTTTCCCAATGCCAGCCACTCCCTTTGTCAGCACTGTTCTGATTGGTTCATCTCTTCCAGGTGGGGCTTTAAAGATGTCTTCTTTTGTTATTATTGCTTCTAGACTATCTAGTTTCCTGGATGCTGTATCAATCTGTCTGACCTCAAGTTCACCATTGACCTCTGCAGTCCCTCCCTCTGTGATGTAGAGCTCTGTGTAGATCTGATTCAGAAGGGTTGGGTTTCCTGTTTTAGCAATCCCCTCAAACACACACTGGAACTTATTCTTCAGAGCAGATTTAAATTCATGTTGATGCAACTGGAAGTTCCTATTGCAGGTTCCTGAAGGACACACACACACCCAAACACACACACTCAAGGATTTATCAATTGCATGTGAATGTATTTTTTTCTACTTCTTGAGACATATTTGAATGTTTTAGCAGACTAAATATTTAGAGAATGATTCTCACTTCTTAGCAAATGCTCAGCGAACTTATTCTGCTTCATTTTCTTCAGGAAGTCCACTGTAATCGTCACAAATGCTTCTCTGCTGCTCTTACTCTGTTCTTCATCCACACTCTGTAATACATCCTCATCCTCACATTGACTCTTGAAACACTGTAGGTCATCTGGACTGAGGTCTGTCTGGATATTCTTCAGCTCGTTCTTCACAAAAGTGATGATTTTCTCCTCTAGTATCTGGAATAGAATATTTTATGAATGGCCCAAGAGCTTTTCTCACACAGGAGAGAAGTACATAGGATGAGGTACATTTCTGAGAATGAGTTTAATTAGGCGCAATATACATAATACCTGAATGAATGAAGGTAAAATCCACATTTCTTTAGAATATTTTCCACATCTAATTTCCATCTAATTCTTTCTATTGCTCTTAAATCTAAATGTTGTCACTAAACGTTATCACTCATGTTGTTCATAAGAATATGCATCAAACACACAAAATTATAAGGATGCTCTATCTCCAGCTAAATCTAGATATTATTGAATATTTGTCAGATTTGGTGAGGTGAAAACTAGATCTCATTTCTCTACTATAATAGTGTCTTTCAGCCATCTAAAAATTTCATCCACAGTGACACTGCACTGTGCAGTGTAATATTTTTATGCCCCTTTTCAGTACTTTAATTTTTTACAATCACTCAGCAGTTGCCTCTAGGTAATCCATGTAGTATATTGTATGACCATACACTGTTGTTCAGAGCTGAAGAGCATAGATGTTTCTCTTGATAATGATCTAAACTTTGAAATACTTATCAATACTATTACTTGGTCATAATATTTCCACCTACATACTATTACTTATCATTCTGCTAACAGTACTGCCATTCTTGTACAAGCTCTAGTTATATTCCATATGGATTATTGTAATTTATCCTTTCTAGATTACCACAAAAATGTCTCCATAGACTTCAGCTGGTGCAAAATCATTACCAGAATGCCCCCCAAAGAAACCATTACTACTGTCCTTCAACCACTTCACTGGCTTCCTGTGAGTTATCATATTGATTTTAGATTCTGCTTCTTACTTCAAAGCCTCTCCACAAACTCACACCTCCATATCTGATGTTCTGCATATCACCACCCTATCCCGTACTCTGAGCTCCTCCTTGTCATGATCCGGAGTCTGTGACTCCGTGTTTATTCTGTGGTTTTGTTTATTTTGGGTTTCTTGTAGGTTCCTTGTTCACGTTTCATGTTCCTATGTTCTGTGTTTCCCAGTCTGTATGAAGTCTGTGTGTTGTGTCATTGTGTGTATGTGTTGCCTGTTTTATTGTGAAGGTCTGCATCTTATGTGAGTGTTTTCAGTTTGCCTCCCTTGTCTCGTCAAGTTGATCACTCCCAGCTGTGTCCCCTAGTGTGTGTAATCTCCCTGTGTTCTCTGAGTGTATTTAAGTCGTGTCTTCTGTCTTAGTAGTTGCTGGTTCGTCTGTGTTATTCCCCTCTGTCATTCTGTGTTTGTTCCTCCGTCTTCCTGGACTTTCTCCCTGCAAAGGTACTCTCATTCGTGTTCTGGTTTTGTTGTTTAATTTCTAGTTTTTCCCAGTTTAGAGTGTTTTCAGTTCTGTTGCTCGCCACCCCTTCTTTGTGTTGTACTCCACCCCTTTGGTTATTAAAGCTTGCTCACAACTACGCAGTCTGCATCTTGGGTCCGTTTATATTCCACACGGCCTGCCTCGGCACCCCGTGACAGTACGAACCAGCCAAACATGGATCCAGCATACTTACCCGGGGAGATCGATCTGATGCGAGTCCAACGCCTGGTCAGGTGGATAACTTCCACCTCTAATATTAGAGCAAGGATTGTGGGGATAAATGCTATCGAGGGGATCCTCAAAGGAAATCCCTATCTCCGCCAGGTCAGAGGGTGTTTGGACTTATTGGCCAACTTGTATGAAGCCCGGGAGGCAGCTCGAGCTCGGGAAATATCGGACTTGGTCCAGCAGCAACAGCCTACAGCCACCCCGGAGCAGCTGCGTCAGCCCCACCTACCGGATGTGGTTTTACCTGGTCCGTTGGAGCCATCTGCGGGGAAGAAACGTCAATCGCGCCGCCGGCGCGCCACCCCACAGCCGGATGTTTGGACTAAATCGCTGGCTGTGGTGAGTGAGGACTCTTTTTCCATTTTGGATTATGGAACTGTTTATTCCGGGGCTGTGTTTTGTGCGGCAGATAATAATA